CTTGCATTGTTAATTAATTTTGATTGTATAAATTATAAAATGTGGTCAAGTTATTTTATTTTGACCATATGAATAGTAAGTGAGTCGAACTTTTTTAAACGGAGGTAATATATCCTTTGCAAGTAAGAGGGAATTAGGGATCCTACTTAATTGAGATGTGAATTGAACTCCTCTAATGAAAGGAGAGTCTCCAACCAATAAGCCAACCTTGATTCTCATCAAACACCGCACGTATATGAATTGAACCATCCAATTTATATGTGCAAGTGTGTGACGTTTACGGCGCAATGTATATATCGTTGTGTTTTATTCTAATTGATAATGTGTCTTACACGTACAAGTACTAGTGTACAATCATGACTCTTTACATGCTTGAACTTTAATGATTTGAATTAGTGAAGTTGAAATGCAAATGATCTTTACTAATTGTGACTTTGTGAGTAAAAGAGGTTATCAATTTCTTATACTCTGTATGGTCCCGGTTTTCTTTATTAATTACTCGTAGTTCATAAAAGTTGTAAACTCGTTATGTTGTATGAGTAGAATCTACAATACACTAGAACTACTTTCATCTTCAAATATTTAAGTTTGAATATGAAGTATTATTTTGAGACATCAATATCATAGCTTTAATTATTAAATATAACGTAAATTTGGGTTGCTTTTGGACTAGTACAATTGTACACGTGTACAATTACAATTTGATTATTACAAGTATTTAAAAAATTAATAAAATAAAATAAAATAAATCAGGTGGATGCATATCTTAATTATGTACGACTAGAAAATCTTAAAAAACTCTATAGACTATGGAGTATTCCTTTTGGTGTCAATCTAAACTAATCATATAACTAATATACTTCGTATAAAGCTAAACTTTTAGTCAGGTCACGAGGCATCGACACTAGAACGCCAAGTGTCGCGTCACGTTGATAGATTTAAATAGACCTCATAATATAAAAAAGTTAATTTAGAATTCTATTTGAATAGAATTTTAGAATAAAATTAGTTTTATTTTCGATAAAATACCTAAAATACCAATATTTCAAATGTACAAATTCAATTATAATTTTATTAAAAAAATTATTAGATTATAATGCTAAAAAATTATCAAATAAATTATTTTTTGTATCATAATATTTTTTGGACAAAGGAAGTAGTTCAAAGCGTAAAACATACACTTATAATATATACTAATCGGTTAAAATAATATACTTCACAATCTTGCAAATCATATAAAGATTAAAAATTTATTTTAAAATTCAATAAACAACTCGGGTATCGCACGGGTACAAAACTAGTATATACATATAAAAGGGAGTTTTTCCCCGAATTTTTAGAGAGCCACATAGGATTTAATTTTCTAAGCGCACCATGTAGGATTATAAATTTAAGTTGTAGCCAATTAAATGAAAGATTATTAATTTCTTTTACAATTAAATAATTCAAATACCATGTAAGCAATATTGACGAATGAGATTTTAAAGTTTAAATTAATTAATTACAAAATATTATCTTTTGAAATTAGGAATTTTATCTAATATTTTAAAACTAATATAATAACAATTTTAATCACATAAATATGAAAAATATTTTTTTTATAAAAATACTAACAAACCGTACATCACACGGGCTTCATCTAGTAATATGATATTTTGAACTCCCCTTATATAGCCATGTGATTAGACGGCAAGACCACCCAATAAACAATTAGAATCCCTATTTAGGTTTTATCATCTATAAAATATTTTAATTAATTAATTTAAATTGTTATTATTTAGTTCAACTTATTTTTAAGTTTAGATTCGATAAAAAAAAAAATTTGGATCAGATCATCATTTTATGTGCAGTTTTTAATAGCTAAATATCTTTAAATTCATAATGAATTTTTTTAAAAAATTTACATATTGATAAAAATCACATTATCACTATTCTAACCGGATCTTATTTGATACATTTTTTCCTTATAGATCATTGTATATTTAAGGTTAAAATTTAGTCAAATCAGACCATCAAATCAAACTCAATCAGATCAAATAAGTTCATATCACATCAAATCAGATTAGATAAGAAGCTATTAGGATATATTTCTATAATCGGAGTTTCATAGGATATGAACAAAATTTGAAAAAAGTATTTTATAACTTTTTTAAAAAAAATTTATGCAAATGAGGATTACACCAAGTTATGAAGTATATTGTTTTTTTTTAAAAAAATTTTTAAATTTTTTTTATTTTTTAAGAATATATTGTTTAAGTATACCATAATTGGTATTAGGTAATACACTGTGGGCATGTTCTCTTCAACTTTAATCTATTCAGGTTCAGTTCCTAATTTTCTTCTCTCACAAACAATTCAATTTAGTTCCTATTTTTCATTTCTCATAAATAATTCAGTTAAATTTAATAAAAAGATAGGCCCTAACACTTTTTTTTAGGGGAAGATAGGCCCTAACACTTGGTAACACACTTAACACTAGGGGTGAGCAAAACCGGGTACCCGGTCAAAAACTAAGGACCCAGTCCCGGAACCGGTTAGTACCGGGTCTAAGATTTTGCAACTGGTCCCGGAACCGGTATCAACCGGGTCCCAAAATTTTAGACCCGGAACCGGAAACGGTGGGTACCGGTTCTAGAACCGGGTACCCGGTGTTATAGTTGACCAGCCATTAAAAAACTTGAAACCATAGAAAATTTCCAGAATATTGAGATGAACAAATTAAGATCTAAAATCTAACCAATACATGAATTATACACTACCAAATTAGTATGAGTCAAATAATCTATATAAATTATAATTTAATATATAATCGAGCTTCTTCTTCGGGTCACCGCCCTTAACTATCACCTCTTCTCTCATTCTCTTAACATTGACGTGTTCTTCGTTGATGTGGTGGTGGTTCCGACTTCTTCATATGCCATGAATGAGAATTTGTAAGAGAGAACAGGTTCATAATATGTTTTTCGTCAAAAAAAAAAAACAAAAAATAAAAAAAATAAGAATTTGATATAGATCTAAGAATATGGAAAAGGGTGGTTGATGAATTATAAGGTGATATTGGCTGGTGAAATTTGTGAAGATAGTGCATTTGGTGGGCGGTGAAGAGTAGTTTTAGGGTTTTAATAATAAGTACTCCTTATAAGATGAATGGGTTGTGAGTAAGTGGGCTGGTAATAACAAAAAAGGCCCAATATTTCATTTGTTTAGTGGCTGACAGAAACCCTAGCAGAAATGAATTGGATGAAATGGGCCTAATGTTGTATTGGACTGTGGATTGTTGGGTTTTTTAAAAAAAAATAATTTTTTATAACTAAATCAGTACCGGTTCCGGGTACCCGGATTGTCTGGATCCGGGACCGGGTACCCGGAACTGGAATTGGTTTAAACCGGGTACCCAGTGGGTACCGGGTCCGAAATTTTAGGACCCGGTCCCGGAACCGGTTACAACCGGGTCCGACATTTTGGACCCGGTCCCGGAACCGGTGGGACCAGTTCCGGGTCCGGACCCGGCGGGTCCTAACCGGTTCCGGGTCCGGTACCGGGTACCCTGGGTCTTTGCTCACCCCTACTTAACACTTATGAAGTATATTGTTTAACTAGATTACAATACTTCCTCTGTTTCTTTTTAGTTGACACGTTTCTTTAGTCACGTTTGCCAATGCACTTATTCAATCATTAATATCATTAATTATCGATAAGCAAAAAATATGAAAAGTTTATATTTTGAAAGTATATAGCGTGACGAATTTCATTACATATAAAGCACAAAACACAGTCAAAGGGAGGTGTGTGAATAGTGCTAAAGTCAAAACGTGTCAACTAAATAAAAACGGAGGTAGTATTACATAAGATAAAGCCCCGTTGACTCTACCTTGTTTTATTTGTTTAATTGAAATTAATTTTGTTAGACAAAAAATTAAATATTACGAGTACTAAACTGAAATTATTATATTTTTTGAAGTGAAAGTTTAGATACCAAGATAGACATTTTATAGATATATATCGCATGATTTTTAATCTAATATATATATGAGTTTTTTCCCGAGTTTTTAGAGAGTCACATAGATCTAATTTTCTTAGTGTGCCATGTAGGATTATAAATTTTAGTAGTAACTAATTAAATAGGAGATTATTAAAATATTTTATAATTAAATAATTCAAATACCACGTAAGCAAAATTGGCGAATAAAATTTTCCAATTTAAATTAATTAAATATAAAATATTATCTTTTGATATTAGGAATTTTCTCTAAACATATAACAAATTTACAAACTTTTAAAAAAATCGGGTGTACAATAATTATTGTACATCCACTATAAAGATAGACTAGATTGATCAAAAGTTACCCCTAAAATAAATAAAAGTTACCCTAATATGCATAAAAGTAATCCAATACAAATAAAAATTATTAGTAAAGAATCACATTTTAAATGACTAAAAATCAATTATTTGTGATTAAATGTAATTAAATTACCATTATATAACTTTTCTTATTGACTATTTATATAAAAATTGTATTATGTTAAAAGTTACCCCCAAAAAAGCAAAAAGTTACCCTAAAATTAGGTAAAAGTTACCCTTATACTGCTCGATGTACAATAAAATTAGTGTAAACCGGGTGTATATAAAAGTTTTTGTAACAAATTTTAGCACATAAATATATGTATAAAAAAAATTATTTTTAAAAATTCAAATAAATCGTGCATCGTACGAGTTTCATCTAGTTATTGAATAACACTGTAATTTTTTTTAGGGGGCAATAACACTGTATTTAAACTATTTATCATACGCAACCTAATCACATACTAGTGATGCTACAAGAATCATATCTCCATAATTCACAATAAAAATTGATAATTTTTCTCAAAAAAAAAATTATAATTTTCCTTTCTGGAAGCCGCCACCTAAATATAACTTCGCCGGAATTAGAACTTTCAACAAAATCAAAATCTTCTAAAAATCCAAAAAAAGAAAAACAATAATTAAAAAAATACAGAGAAAAAGATAAAAATTAATCCAATATTGATTTAATCTTTAGAATTAATTAAATTAATTTCTCTTTTATATAAATACTCAACCCCCCTCTTTCTCAACACTCCCAACAACAACAAAAAAAAACCCATAAAAACTTTTTCTCTCTCCTCTCAACTCCTAACTTCCTTCACTTGCTCTCTCTGCCTCTCCCAATTCAAACCCAGAAAAGTACAGTACACACTTTTTTCTTGTTCCCTGTTTTTTATTTAATTTTCCGATCTATCTAAATTGAATTGAAATTGAAAAAGATGGGGGGAATTTAAGAAGAATATAAAGCTTTGTTTGTGGAAGAAACAAGCTTTTATAACCGCATTGTATTGGGATTTGCTTTGCCGTCGATGATGTGGGATTTTCTTCCACATTTTTTACAAACTTGGCTCAGAAACTACATTGGTGGTGTTTTTTTGTATTTGGGTTCTAGTTTTCTCTGGTGCTTTGTTATTTATTATTGGAAGCGCAACCTCTTTATTCCTAAAGGTAACTTCTTTTATTTATTTTTTTCGCCCTTCAAAATTACGTTTTTTTGGTTAATTATAGTGTGAAATTAATGCGATTAGTCGGAAATTTGGTTGTTAATTTTGTGTTGAATAATTCTAATTAGTTAGATAATTTTTCACGGCGTGAGTTGTATGTATGTGGTTGAGGTTTGGTTTTTTTAAACGAGGTTTATTGGCCAAATTGGGTTTGATAGATATAGAATCGTCACTATCAATAATATTAGTCAATAGTAAGAATTGACATTTTTGACATTCGAATTTGTACGGAGTTAGAGAGTGATGTCCAACATTATCAATGGTTTTGCTGTTATTGACATTATGTGTTTGTTTTTATAATTTGGCTAATTTTATAATCTACTAAACTTGGACTAATTCGGTTTTAAGCCCAGTCAGGCTCCAGTTGGGTGGCGCTGCTATATTCTAGAAACCCGAGACCTTTTAGTCAAGGGATAACACTCTTTTACTAGTTGATTTGAGCACTTGTTGGTATTCGCTTAATTAATTTAGTTGGTGGCGGTGGTCTGTGGGCGTGTGTGGGCCCCGGGTGGGGTGCAGAGGTGGTTAGTTAAGGAGTGAAAGGTGTTGATCTCATTTGATACGAGCGTTATTCGTGTGGACTTTATTTACTAGTATTTTGGTTTTTCAGGCTAAGCGAATGTTATGGTCAATTTAAGGGTATTTCGGTATTCTGGTTAATTAAAAATTAATATGATAAAAGATTAAAATCTTGTTTCATGTAGTCGATCCTATCTTTAGCCGACAATCAATGGGTTAAATCTGTTAATCTACCCCATAAGTAGACCATAAGACATGATAGAGTGAAAATAGAGTAGGGTCAATCTTATGACATACTGTACACCGTATGTCATACTTGTATTTATAATTAATCATAGTAGATAAGTAGATGAAAACGTGAATCATTTATTTTTAAAATGTTTTAGAATGTGTTATAGAGTTTGGCCATTTCGAGGGTATATATGTTTTGCTAATTGCATCATTAATTTATGTGGATTATCGAAGATTCCTTCATATAACTATATAATATTAGAGGTTTGCTGTTTGTTTACTGTCGGAATCTTTAAGGTCTTGAAGAAGTCAATAGGGGAAGACCATTGTTCTTTTTTGTGGTTTAATTTAATAAATCCACGGAACGGGGGCTTATTATACTCGTAATAGATGTGAGATACTTATCTTGAAGGTAAGTATCTAATATAGTCGCAATTCACAAGCGTAGTTTGCTTGCATTTTGATTAGATTACTACTAGATCGGACGTAATCTTAATTTTTTTACGATCTAATAGAAATGTGACATACTTCGTACTACGGAGATATTAAGGACAATGGGATGTGGGATGTGTCATGTGAGATATTAAGGACAATGGGATGTGTCATGTGAGGTACAAGTCCCTAAGAGGTGGACTATCTGAGTAAAAGAGGCTTTTGTTGGAAGCTTCTTGAGAACAACAAACTACAATAGACAATAGTTTTGGTCTTCATTTCTATAAACTACCAATATTTTTTTGGGTATACTTTGGCATCTTCATAATATGTCTAAATGCTACCTTTATAAAGCACTAGATGGATCTTTAGAAAGCCATATGCCTTGTAGTAAAGTTGGCCACTTAGCTTATATCATGATCACTAATTTTATTATTATTATGCCTTTTTGTATGCTTAACAGGTTGGTGGGTGATGAATTACTTTTTGGGATTAAAAATCAATCTTATCAAATTACAAGTCTTATGTTATCAAATTACAAGTCACTAATCACCCATTTTATTATTTGTTAATATTTTAGATTGCATACCATCAAAAAGAGCTATGTTATTACAAATTGGAGTGGCAATGTAGGCCATGCCTTGGTATACCCTTCTTCCGAAGATTTCTGAATATATTATTGAACAAGGGTGGACAAGATGTTTTCCTCGAATCAGTGACATCGGTTTGTCAGCCGATATTTACTGATTTATCTTTTAATCGTGGAATTTGGGATTTACTAGGTGCATAGAGAATTACATGATATAAAACCGCTTTACAAGTATCTCTATGCAACCCATCCAGTGGCGGACCCAGGAATTTTCGACTGGTGAGTCACAATTGATAACTAAATATGTAAATAAATTTTTTTATCAAACAACCAAATAATAGTACTAAAAAATACATCCAAAAACCCAGAAATCATATATCCTCTGTTCTTGTATCCTCTTTCTCTAAAGCAAATCATCAACCAGTTTCAGTGCAATGGAAAATGAACAAAAAACTTAGATTTTTTTTGGCACAATAGGACCATGCCGAACTCTAACTACAGAGTTTCTGAAATCAGATGAATAGACTGATTAGGATAAGAGATGATATATTGATATCCAATTAAAAAAACCCCAGCAAAACACATCCCACCTCATAATACTCCTTCATTCTTTGGTTTTTCACTATTTTTTTGGCTCCAAAATTATCTCTTTCACTTTCTCTCTCCTCTTCAATAATGGTGTCACTCTCCCTCCTTTCAACACTCCCTTCTCTCTCTTCTCCCGCCATTTCTACTACTTCCTGTATGATTCCCAATTTCTCACATTTTCATTCAATTTTACTCCAAATTATATGATTAACTTAATTTTAGCATAATTTCAGGGTACAATTCGCTGTAGTAGTAACAATTTGGAGGTAGATGATGATCTAGCACCCAGGATTTTTTTGTTTTTTTTTTTTTTTAAAAAACTAAGATTTTTTTTTTGGGCCCTGGTGAGTCATTTGACCCACCAGGCACAAAGGCAGGTCCGCTACTGAACCCATCACATATACAACAAGCAAAATACTCTTTCTCCTTTTGCTGGTAAGTTAATTTCAACAGTTAGATGTAAAAATTTAAATGTTATTTTTGAACTATTCTTATACTTTGTATTATTTTTTATTTGTAGGTCTTGCATTTCATCCCCTTGACGGCAATTTACAAGCCGTGCCTCATTTTTGTGCTCTATTTGTTGTTCCGGTTCATCTTACGACTCACATAGCCCTTATTTTTATTGAAGGTTTATGGACAACAAATATTCATGATTGTATTCATGGAAAAGTATGGCCGGTTATGGGGGTTATCATACTATTCACCACACTACTTATCGACATAATTATGGCCATTATACCAAAGAAGGTTTGCTAATGTGTAGTCATATTAAAATTGTATTCATACATTTAATTTGTTTTAGTGGAACTTGACTTTTGTTCATCTCCTCGTTGAAACAGTGTAAATTATTTTTGGTTGGTGATAAATGTTTTTATTTGAGGATTATACATTACTATAGAAAGGGTTAATTATTAGGAAATTGAAAGGATTATACATTTACTATAGGAAGGGTTAATTATTAGGAAATTGAAATATTAGGTTTAGATTATAGTTTTTTTTTTATTTTTTTATTTTTATTTTTTTATTTTGAAATTCTATTCATAACCTTGTGAGAAACTTTATAAATTATAATTTGTTTTATGCAAGGAATTTGATTTTCTATATTTGAAACTTTGTATAGATTTATATAGTACTCGTACTAGTTTCGATGTCAAAATAAAAAATCTTATATAGTATTCTATTTCTTCGATTAGCACATGTGGACTCTTATCCTAACATCCTCCTTCAGATTAATTAGATTACATGTTTCTTGTTGGGCTCTCTTTGGACCTCTAATACTTGATACAATCACAATTTTGTTGGGCTACTTGTTACAAACAGATATTCCAATCCTTTTCATCTTGCATTATTCAAATAATTGTCTCCTTGAAAATTAAGAGCTGAACTGAACTGAAAATAATCGTATAAGAATAGACCAGTGTTGTTAAGGACTTATTGGTCAAGATCATCTTAACCGTGTATCGTAGACATCTATTCATCATTGTAAAAACGAAGGAAAAGATTGGTAATGGTGGCATGAATAGCATCCATAATTATCACCCACTGCACTGCCACAAACTAAGCATGCAAGCTGGTTGAGTACTTATTAAGTGCGAACTCTCGAGTTGTTTAAGAATGATGACACTGTCACTCCTACATTCTACCATAAATCACTTTCAGTTTAACTCATAATGAGTGTCATACTAACATATATCTATGAGTAGTATTTTATTTTTAATAGACTATGAATGATCATTGCCACTATTTATTAGTGGCCGTATTATAATACTTGTATACTCATATGTAATAATCATTTACTAGGTTTATATCACAATGTATCTAGCCAAAATACCAGCATAATGAGTTGCGATCATCATGAAGTTTTTGCATGCTTTATCGAATGATTTTGATGCAGATTGTTCTTTGAGTCTTGTTTGAGCTAAATATAAATATACAATTTGTTAGTGCCGATGACATAATAAGTTTATCATAGGAAAAATAGGAAAAATGGATGATGTTATTTACTGAAAACAACCTAACTGAATTGAATAGAACTGAAATGAATTGTTTATGAGAGAAGGAAATTAGGAACGGAACTGAACTAAAATAAAATGAAATTAAGATGAACAAAACAGGTCTCAAGTAATGATCTGATTATGCATCAATAGTGATTATTCTTGTTAGCCATGGGATAATTATACTTTTCTCACAAAGAAAGGTTTCACTATGAACAATTGTAAACAATAAAAACCAACAATATCTTGATGATGGTAGGAGTAAAAACTCTTTTCGGACTGCATCATTTACACACATTGTGGCTCTATCTATAGGATTCTATACCAATTAAATTGTTTTTTCTTTTATTTTTTACTAATTTTCAATCTTTGCTATTAAAAATATTTTAACCATCACACTTCAACTACTAAAATCTATATTTAGTATACACGTACAAATTTTCAAAATTGACAAAAGCGCAATGGAATCTAAAATAATCCATACTAGAAAAACGGGATCGGATATTTGGATCAATGATCAATTCAATCGGATTCTATCTTAAATTCTTAACTACAAATGGATCGAGCGCTATATGAATATGGTTAAGTCAAAGATGAAGGATAGCAAATTTTCGTGGATCAGGTTTTTGCCACCGAATTTTTCTCAGTAGCATCAACCTCAATGACTGCAACATTCTTTCTATCTCCTTCTTCAAACATCCAGTTAATTTCAACCCCATTTCTTGATTCTTTCTCTTCTTCACCCTTTTCCTTCTCCACTAAACCCCTTTTCCTGAAAATCCCTAAACCCCTAATTTCTCCCTCTTTTAATGCTTCGTCTTCCTTCCTTCAAATTCGGTCCTTTAGCACCAAAAACTACAGAGATTATACCACTGAAAATGATGAATTTAGTGAAGAAAATTATGATGATGATACTTATAATGATTATGAAGCTACAAGTTCAGGTGGTAATAAGGTTAAAATGCCCACTGCTCCATGGATGAAAACTCCTCTTTTTCTTCCATCTGATGAAGTTCTTGACCTCTCAAAACCCAAGCAGAAGAAGAAAACCTCCATTGATGAAGCCCAGAAAGCTGATAAGTCACTTACTGAGAAAATTAGTGGAAGAAAGGGTAAGAAGGTGGTTAAGAAAATTGTTTACAAGATTGAGAGGCTTCAACCTGGCAATGATTTGGTTGATACCCAGAAAAATTTGGATAAATCCCTGAGAATTTGGGATGATACCCAGCAAAATGATACCCAGAAAAATTGGGATGATACCCAGAAAAATTGGGGTGATTTTGGAGGTGGGTTATTGTTGGGTGATAGTGGGGAGTCAAAATTGAGGCGTAAAATGCCATGGGATAAGGAAGAGAAGCTGGTTTTTAGGAGGATGAAGAGAGAGAAAGTGGTGACTGCGGCCGAACTGAGTTTGGATGAGACATTGTTGAAGAGATTGAGAGGAGAAGCTTCAAAGATGCGAAAGTGGATTAAGGTGAAGAAAATTGGTGTTACTCAAGCTATAGTTGATGAAATTCATTCAATTTGGGCTAACAATGAGCTTGTTATGCTTCAATTTGATTTGCCTTTGTGTAGAAATATGGATAGAGTGCGGGAAATTGTTGAGGTTTGCTGCTAATTTAGTATAATAGTTTTCATTTGTTTCCTTAATATACTATATTAAGGTGCATATAATGAATTTTGTTGCCAAATTTTATGCCATGGAATATTATCTTGTATGAATATGTGATTGGTTAAGTAAAAGATTGATAATGTATATTTAGTTATGTTCGTATTAAACTTGATCATGATAATATGATATGGTGTTGCTGTTTTTCCATACTTGCAAGTGACTTGTAGTTGCAAGCATATCTTACCTATTTGAACTTGATTATATTTGGTTACTCCTATTGAATAATCATAATCAATAGTGCTGTTTCCGGTGACAATAAACTTAGTAATTCATGTAATGTAGGCTGAATTTGATGTAGTAATTACTTTTATGTATTCAGATTAAAACGGGAGGATTAGTTGTGTGGAGTAAGAAAGATAGTCTTGTTGCTTATAGAGGATGCAATTACTTTTCAAGGAAATTGTCTCCAAAGGCTTATGTTCGACCGAAGTTGGATATCAATATGATTATGGACGGAGAAAAGGATTCTCTATCAGCTGGGTTATTGATGGACAGGAATTTGGGGATTAAGCCAGGTGATAAGTCACTGTATGAGAGGGAAGGTGATAGATTATTGGATGGATTGGGACCTCGATTTGTTGACTGGTGGTACCCGAAGCCTTTACCGGTTGATGGGGATCTTCTTCCAGAAGTAGTTCCTGGATATAAGCCTCCATTTAGGCTTTGTCCACCTCGTGTTTGGCCCCAAGTGACGGATGCTGAACTGACATACCTGAGGAAACTTGCTCGCCCTTTACCAATACACTTTGTCCTCGGTATTTTCTTGGTGATTCTGTGGCTAATGTTTCGTTTTAGTATCTTAGTTATGTCACTTGATGGACTTTATGTGATTAGATAACTCTACTCTTATCTCAACTTCTTGAATGTTAATTTATATTACTAGCAAATTTATTGGGGCGTTTTATTTTAGTAATATGTTAGTGTTTTATAGGGAGTATTAGCTAAGCTTTTTTATGGCCTATTAAAATTCTGATAGATTTTACCAATGAAAATAGAATCATGCAATCTTAATTAAGCTTAGATTTCAATGCTCTTTTCTTCCAAAGAATTAGGAGTTTTCCTTTGCTTATCATAGTGTCTTAATTTGTTGAGAAACCTGAGTAATAAGTTGATGAATACTGTTGAAGTATGCTAGGTACAACAAGTAGCCACTCCATTTTGCTCTTTAAATTTATGTTTTCTTGTACTATTTGATTTTCTGAAATTATTTCCACTTTATGTCTGTAGAACAAAATCTGCAGTTCATAAGTGTTGAGATACTTGAAAATACGGTTAACTATATTTGCTCACTGCTAAAATTTCGCTGCTTACTATACCTCTGCAACTGCTTCCGCTGAAGTCCCTGTCTGGGTGCTGCAGTTGTAACCAGCCCTGCATATTATTGTATTTGTGTTCGGTGTGCTAATCATTGTATAAGTAACTTTTTCATTGTCTTTGTAATTCTTTAGGAAGAAATTCTAAACTTCAAGGTCTAGCTGCTGCCATCTTAAAATTGTTGGAGAAAAGTTTATTTGCCAAAATTGCTGTGAAGTGGGGTATTCCAAATACCAACAACGAACTCATGGCCTCTGAACTCAAGGCAAGTCATGTCCCATAAAAGTATGATACTGTAGTTTGTATGTCAGACTGTCGGTTATGATTTCAGATGCATAAGCTGTTGATTGGGTCTTTTGTTTGTTAAATGCTCATTACATTGATAGTTAGATCATGAAAATTAAGATAGCATACAAAAATCAAAGGCTGTCTTTTGCGACATGATTGGTGAGAAGATATTATTTCCTTGTGAATTCGAATGGCTTTCCGGATACAAGTGCAAGTGTGCATAATGATACAGTTATGTTATACCTTGTATGTATTTACTCATTAACCAGTCCAAATAGCTTCTTTGACCAACTAATATCTAAGAATGATATTATAAGGCTTCATATATGATGAACATAATGCCAATCAGACTTTAGAGTAGAACGATCCCTTAAGGATAAAATTCTGAGTCATACTTCTGATATAAGTGAGAAAGATTATAATATATATTATCTGCAGCATCTTACCGGTGGAGTTCTCCTACTACGTAACAAGTTCTTCATCGTTCTCTACAGAGGCAAGGATTTCTTACCAAGCAATGTTGCAAATGCGGTAATTGAGAGAGAGATTGAGCTCCAGCAGTGGCAACTCCATGAAGAAGATGCACGACTTAAAGCAGCTAGCGTTATTAATTATAGTGATGAAACTACAACAGATAAAAGTATCAGTGGTACCTTTTCAGAATTTCAACATATACAAACGATTTCCAGGAATGTACATCACATCAACAGAGAGGCCAAAATTGAGTTTGAAGCTGAGAAAAAAAGATTAGAGAAGGAATTGAGAAAGCAAGAGCACAAATTTGCCATTGTGAGAGCCCATTTTAATTTGGTTCCTTATCTTCTCCTTAGGTTTCATTTAGCTGAATATATTTTTTACTGATCCTGCAGCTCAAAATCAAAATCGAGAAAGCAGAAAAGGATCTAAGGAGGATAAATTCTGCCTGGATGCCTTCTGAAGAAGAGCTTGATCAAGAAATGATGACTGAAGAAGAGAGAGAGTGTTTCAGGAACATAGGTTTGAAGATGGACAGATTTCTAGTATTGGGTAAGGAATGACATTTCATTGGTGCCCAATTCTCTGTCTAATAATTTTATATGTTTGAAATTTTTGTCATTTATTTAACTCATGGCGTGCAGAATGTTTAGTTAGGATTTGTTTAATAATCTTCTTGTAATATCAGGGAGGTGAGGGGTCTTTGATGGAGTGATAGAAGGACTGCACCAGCATTGGAAGCACCGGGAACTTGTGAAAGTTATATCAATGCAGAAAACATTCTCGCAGGTCCTTTCTACTGCTAGAACGCTGGAAAGAGAGAGTGGCGGGATACTAGTATGCATCAAAAAGCTAAAGAAAGGCCATGCCATTATTATTTACCGTGGGAAAAACTACAAGCGTCCCATTGATTTTGGTGGAAATCTCCTAGATAAAAAGAAAGCATTGAAAAGATCCCTAGAACTTCAAAGACTAGGAGTGAGTATATCACTTAAAACTTGTGTTTCGGGGTTTTCTGATGTCCTGCGGGAGAGTTACAATTCCGAGACTGGAACCGGACGCCTGTACCTGCAAAACAAACGGATGCTCCGGATGATTGGAGATCCGCCTCCGACGGTCAAGTTAGTACTTGATTAAGGAGTAATTAATGCGGAAATTAAAGTGATTGGGTCTCTCTAGGTGAGAGTGTTTAATGTGTGTAATCTGCGTTTTTTCCCTTAATGAGGATTAAGGGAGGTATTTATAACCTCGGGAAACGTTCCAATCTAGGTTTAGGTTAACCTTGGGCTGATTGGGCTTCCCTCGGAAGTTGGGCCTAGGTGACCGGCTTCTCCATTAGGCATGGAGTATGCCACATGTCATGACATAATAAGTCCAGGGTGGACGAATAAGCGTGTGCCACGTGGCAAGCCCTGAGAGGTCCAACTGGGGGACACTTGGCAGGACCTGATTGGCCCACGTGGCGCATTCCGATTGGTGGGAGCAAAATCCCCTAATCAACTTGCATTTTCGTTTGATTTTGGTGTGAAGTATATAGAATGAATGATTTATATGTTTTGTTTTCTTATTCATCAGTCCCTTAAATTTTTTGCTCATCAAAGGGAATACGAAATTGCAGATTTGAAGCTCAAACTGGTAAGTTTGCCTTGATTTTTTAATTTCAAATCTTATTCTACTTCTATCTCATGCCCACAAACTTAATTAAACCATTGCAGGCTGATTTAGAGAAGAGGCACAACAAAAAATGATCGGACTCTGAAACCTGTATGTGCACAGAAATTATATCTTCATTGAAGGTTGAAAGGAAGAATTTTGTACCGCCAGCCATCAAGAAACTTGGGTCAAGTTGAGGCATTAAAGGTAGAGGTATCAAGTGTAGGATTTTGAAGAGTTAAAGCTCCAGCGCTTGTGCTCTCGGAAAATGCCTCAAACATGGATTACTCCATAGATAATGAAGTGCCTGCTGCATAAATTTAGCTGACGAAGCATTCCTAATCTACATTGTGGAGTTCTGTTCAAAACACACGAAGTTACACATGAATATCTTATGATAGATTATTCTTCTGTGATGCAATGTTGTTAAGAGTCTGAACAAAGTTAACACTATTGTACAGCTGGGGAATACTATTCTTCTTTGATCTAGGTAATGATCAGAAAATGAAAGTTTGTGTTATAATTGTACATGCTCTCTATATACACATGTTATAATCTAATTAACCAAATAACATTTGCTTTTAGTTTTTGAAGTCACCAACATGGCAACATCCATATACTGCTACATCTGGAATGTCAAAATAATGTTTCCAATATTACCAGAGCCTGAATCACCAATTGGCGTTTACGTGCTTGATTATGCACATTGAGGAATATTTTTTAAAATAAGCTTTACACAAAGTCTTATATGTGGCTGGGGTTACTTCATCATTTTTATAGAGTTACTCGGTCAGTGTTATAGGGGTTACTTGATTGGTACTACAGGGGTTACTGAATCAATGTTATAGGAGTTACTTTAAGTGGTCACACGGTGTGGCCAGCCGCACACAAGACGAGCTGTAAGCTTTAATACTTGTTTACTTTCTGGAAAATAATACAATGCAACTTTGGTGCAACCTGCCACCAAGAAATAATACACGCATACGAGAAGTACTTTCTATTCAACTGAAAGTACAAGAAATCACTTGATAAAAACTCCGAATTATACACGCATGAAGTACAAGAGGTATGGACTAAAAAACAACTCAAGAATTAACACACTCAATAATCTATACTTTTTTTGGAGTTAATACATATTGTTACAGAAGCACGTGTAAGAATTAAAATTGCCTTCTAGCAAAGCTAAGAGTATCACTTAGTATAGATTCTCATATTCTTCATCACCATAATAAGCCCTTTTTTCTTCTAAATCTGTCAACTTGGTCAGTGCTCATTCGTGATTTTTCAGGCTTGCTAGTCTTCTTAGATTTTTCAAGCCGGCTATCTAAGCTGTTTCTAGAGACTTCTGGGAGGTCAGGATTCAACTCAAATGTGTCTTGATTCGTTGTTGTGGGAACCTTGACCTGATTGTCTGAAGACTTGCTTTGATTGTCTGAAGCCTTGCTTTGAGTGTCTGATTCTACCGTTGTTGACTCTTTGGAAGACCCATTAGATGCAGACTCTACGGCAGGATCTTTAGTCCCGTTTGAGCCTGCTTTGAATTTGTTAAGATATGATACAAACTTCTTCAAGTGTCTGATGTATTCAGGGTAGAGTTCAAGGTTGCAATGTCCACCCCCACTGAGCCACAAGGGTTCATACTTTTCCTTGCAGAGCTCATAAAGTTGTTTTCCATGGGAACAATCAACAACTTCATCGGCTGTTCCCTGGTAGAAAGTCCATGTATCACAATGTTCAGCTAGTACCATTTTCAATTTTTATAGGTGCACACTATTCAACTAAACAAAGGAAGCAAAGGCCACATTGTAATCTCAATTCATCATAAAAAAAAAAAAAACACTGATATAAAGGAAGTCACCCCAAAAAATCAAGTAGATGTAATACGGAAAATGGTCGTCTGTCATCACCCCCCCCCCCGGCGGACACACCCAGGCACAACATGTATACGTTATTATCATTATTTATTTTTTATTATTATTATTATTATTTTATTTTTATTTTTTTGTGGGAGGGGGGGGGGGAGGGGGTGTGGAGGGACACTACACACTAGTCTTAGTAGGTAAGACTACTTATCGGTCTACATGCATGAGGGTGAAACGGTAAAACTAGCATCAAGAATCACAAAACCAGGACACATAAATAGCGACTTTAAGAGTCCCCAACTCCCTAATGGCCATTGTTTAAACTTAGAGCTTTGGATCATACAGACTAAATGCTCACAAACCTAACCCTTTACTTACTTTTCTGTGGCTGGTCAATCTATGCCTTTCCAATCACTGTTTCGCAAAAATTAGAGCCCTCAGACAAGAGACACCCTTCTTTCACATACAACAGTGCTCACGGGAGGATCATGAGAAGTATTTGGGTATATGTATGAGATGATGTGTAAACATTTTGAAAATGGGGAGATCAGAGTCATCATAATAATAAATCTCAGGACCCGGTTGGGGGGGGGGTAATGTTTAGCAACTAATCTATGGGTTAAATAGAACAACATTGACAGCGGATACAAATTTTGTCAGCAACAGAAGCAATAATGGTAGACTAGCACTACAGAAGGAGCTACCACATAAATTACAAGAAACAAACTTATAGCAGAGCATTCAGAAGGAGCATGTAGCCATGTAGCAAAGAAATTTTCTTCAATCAAATTGAATTGAAAAGATTTCATCAATATTTATTTAGCTTTAATGATATCAAGAGGTTCAGAGTTGGACCACAAAGCAAATTTTTAAAGAAGGTTTTTGTATACACGCAGTTTAAAGTTGACTAATGACAGAGCCACAAAGTAGAAACTGCAAAGACACAAGTGTTCTCAAGAATTTTTTTATTTTTATTTTTTTTCCTTTCTTTTTTATATTTTTCCGAAAAGATGTCACAAAGTTTCACCCTAAATCAGGGGCGGAGCCATGTAGGAACAAGGGGGGACGGTTGTCCCCCCATTTTTCCAAAAAAAAATTTAATTTATGTTAGCTTAAATAAATGCTGTAAATAAGAATAAATACCTTACATGTATACCTTATATAACAAAGACAACATTTGGTCTGGTGGTTGATGGGCTTGAGTAAAGCTTGTATTTCTCTTTGATCCTAGGTTCGATTCTTTACCCGATCATTTTTTTTGTTTCTTTTTGCTATTTTTGGACTTTATTTTTATTTCATTTTATAGTTTATACAAAGTGCTCCTATTTAACTTCTTTTTCTTGTTTTTGGATTTTGCCATTTTTTTTTTTACTGGTTTTTAAATTTCATTATATAGTATGTAATTTATATATACAAAGTATTATAAGTCTTCAAACCTCTAACTACTCTCATTTAACTGTTTAATCAAGTATCGCCTTGTTGATAGTGATTACTAATGTGTTATTAAACTATTTGTAATGAACACATGTCTCCGTATTTTTTTATCTCTCTAATTATGTGTGCCTAAATTCTATTTTTTTTATAGCTTGTTTGGAACTAAGTTTCCAATTTTATTTTTAGTCAAAGAAAGTTTATTTATTTATTATTATTTTTTTTTTTAAAATGTAACCCAAATCCCTTTACATCTACTATCAATTTGTGTAAATGCTTATCATTTGATAAATCATATTTATCGATTATTAAGGATTACATACCTTAAAATTGGGGTTTACCAGCATAAAAAAAAAAAAATGGTTAATAAATTTCTTAATATGCAATTAATTTTTTAACAACTCCTCTTTCACCATATAAGAATAATTGTCATATCTCATAAGCGATTTCAAATATATATTAAACAATTTATGTGATCAATTTCTTTTTTCTTAATTATTGTCGATTATTAAACATCTAAAAATTGTCCCCCCGGATTACAAATCCTGGCTCCGCCACTGCCCTAAATTTCATATAACAATTAAGGTGTGTTGAATGAGTTTGCAAAGGCCATCATAACTCAATAAACAAAACTTAACAAATCTAGACCTACAGAAGTCAACATAAATGAGAAAAGAGTTGATCTTACATGGATCACTAAGACAGGACAATTCACCTGGGCCATTTTGTCAACGTTCTGAAACAAATTGAAGAAGAAATGTAAGCCCAATAAGTGAAAACATTTCATGCATTTATCTAAAAAAAAGTTGTTACCTTGTAAATATCAAACCAATAAGTCCTTTTGACAGGATAGAGAACCCTCACTCCAGAAAGGATTGGGCTATGCAGAACCACCCCTCTGAGGTTAGGAGTACGTGCAGCTAGATCAACTGTAGGACCACTGCCAACAGACTGACCATACAATATTAATTGCTCATCTTTCACCCCATACTTCTCCTTCAGGCATTTATATGCTGCATCAATGTCGGCGTATGTATTAGATTCAGTAGGCTGTTCCAAGGAAAAACAACGAATGTATGTCATGAGAAACATCATATAATGAATAAACCCTTTCTTTGCAAGATAAGAACCAAAGCAACAAGGCCTTTACCCACTATATGAAGTTGACAACAAACATCTGTAAAACATGATGAACAAAACCACATGAACACTCGAGTTTTTAAATAATAGACAAATGTGATAGATATAAACACAGAAGACAAAACATAAACAAAGTACATCTGTTTTGTTTAGATTTTTCATAGAGCTAATAGCAACTAAAGGGCATCCCATAGCCTCCATATATAGTTCATTAGAGCTAGCACACTGATGCTAATTATGATGCATATTCAAGAATCTGCATCTTCTTCGAGACTTGAATAAAGACAAACAGCAAGCATCATAATACACAGTATTTTACAAAATAATGAAATACATGTACCTAATATATATACTATATGTACACACGAATGGCTATATTATCAGAGAAAATCAACTTCCAAGCAGCCTAGGTCTTCAGATGCTATTTGATTTTAATTATATGTATGGGAGCAGGTTGGGCTATACCCTGTAAAAAATGAAGATTAAACAGAGAGGTACAGAGCCCATTTGAGCAAATACCAAGCATGGAGAAGGGTATTTTTTGGACCCTGGATGAGGGGGTGTAGGTTCATGCAAATTACTAAAGTCCTCCGTAATTGCCGCTTAGAATTTGGAAGTTAGAAACATTGGACATGAAAATATGCATTAAAGAAAATTCTAGAATAAAAAGACACATGATCCTGCTGACTAGTACAACACCACACAACGTATTGCTAGCAAAGCAAGCAGCAAAGATGAGTCATTACCTTTCCCGTTGACTGTCCATATCCGGAGTAGTCATACCTATAAAAACCCATAAAGATATTGTGATCAGAAAAGCAAGCTTCTTGGATATTTATTATGGTATTAAAATGTTGACAAACTCAGCACCGCAATGACGCCAGATTTGTAGGTCCATGACCAACACACATATGGTCAATTGGTCAGCATACATAAAATGAAGTAGCCTAGGTTTCAAAAGCAATGATGCCACATTTGTAGCTCCATGTACCAGCACACATATGGTCAATTGATAAGCTATAATATACATAAGATTAAGTAGACTAATTCAAAAACTACATAACAAACACGTTGTTGAGATCCACAATTTGACTACATGTTTCATCTTGCATCCGTAGCTTCTATTGACAAGATAATTTAAAAGATAAACTTCAGCAAGATAAGTTTACAAATATGAAAAGAGGGCACTATATGAGACAGTGAGACTCACTGGAATAAGGGATCTATATTCCTTTATTATGGTTAGTGCCACTAATATGACTGGAATATACATGATTATAATTCATCTTATTTAGCCATTTAATCAAAGAACATCTTGTATAAGGTATGATATTACAGACACCACTCATAATAACAAGAAAGTGATTAACACAGCCAATAACTCGAATCCTACTATCAACTTGCAAATAGAAAGAGTTAGAATGTATTTTTAACAAAAATAGCACCCATCAGAACAAAATCTTGACCCCTTACAATATTTAAGCACCCTCCAAATCCTAAACTTCGTCATTGTATCCTCAGCTCCTCACACATAAACATCTTTGTTCTGACACATAACATATAAGGCTCCAAATCAAGCACAATAGACCTAATAATTGCAGTCAACCTATTTCCTTATAAAGACTTAATAAGATGAACAAGCTTCAATTACTCCTCATTTTGCTCCATCTCAATTCTCCTCATCCATCCCATTTTAAATGATAATTTCAACTTCTGTTTGTAGCATGTCAGCTTGTGTTTATACAACACAATCAAAAACTTTCTTTTCAAGGACCAAATTCAAGATACACTACATAGTATTATAAAAACCAATATTTGTAAATTTCATGACTTTCCAAAAATCTGTTATCCGAGCCTCTAATAGTCTAATATATACCAAACTAATCAAAACCCTAAGCACTGTTTAATATCTATTCATAGAAAATTGGAAACTGTCAATTTTATTTTTTTTTGAATAGCAACTGTCAATTATTATCTAAAATAAGTACAATACAAGATTATTAACTTCATACTTTCTGGTGCAAACAAATTACAGCTAAATAACCCTTGAAACTAAAATAGATCAAAGATTAGAAAATTACCCCATAAGATTAACACGAAGGCGACTGCTAAGCTCCACAAAAAGCTCAAACATTTGACCTAAATCAGCAGCATTGCCATGAGAATAAAGCAAAGTAGAAGAGGCTTTAGGGTGCTTTACATAAACAGCAACGACGTCGTTTCCTCTCCGACTGCGGAGCTTCAAAACATCAACACCATCTCTTCTCGGAACTTCCGGTATTGACAATTTCTCATCGCCGGAATTCTCGTCGGAGATCACCGTGTATGACGGAGGAGCTGGCGGAAAAAAGGCAAATTTAGCAGCAATTGATGACGTCACTCCCCCCATTTTTCTTCTCTCTCATCAGATATTCCTGTTTCATAAACCTCTTCCCTAAGACATCTCTTCTTCTCCAAAATTCCGAAAAATTTCAAGCTCAAAATTTGACGACCCAAAAAAATTCCAGCTCAAAATCGATAACCCAGATAAAATTGAGCTAATAGATGAAGACCCAGAAAAAATTATCGACTACCTATACAAAATTCCAGCTCAAAATCGATACCCCAGAAAAATTAGAGCTAAAATACGATGACCCAGATAAATTCACCGACTACCCAGAACTTTCAGCTCAAAATCGATGACCCAACTAAAAATTGAGCTGAAAATTGAAGACCCAAAAAATAAAAATTTAAACACAAAATCGATAACCCAGAAAAAATTAAAGTTTGTATAAAGATGACCCTTTAGAGTTCAATCAAAACCCTGGAAAAGTGGGGGTGGGGAATCTTTAACGATGTGGGGTTTTTTGAACGTTGAAGGAGGGAAGTCAGCTTTTGAGAGGAGAGAGAAAGAGAGAGAGAGGGTATTTGTGAATTGTGATGACGGCGACAATGGGGGATGTAAGGTAAGGTGAGGTGAGGAGGTATGATTTTGATTGAATTTAATCAGAAAGAAAGAAGATTGATTATAATTTAGAAAGAAACAGAGTACTAATATACTTGTATTAATGATGGACTACAGAATTCCAATTGCAAAAAGAGGGGTTTCTGTAAATTATTAAATTTATGGTAATTTTTTTTTCTACAACAGATGTGGTAAAGAAAGTTTGGGTTCCTTTTTTACTCAATCAGAGGGACAAAAATAAATTCAGTGTTTTTGATTGATATGATATGATTGATTTTATTTTATTTGATTATTGGGTGGAGAGGAATATTAAGGTTTTTATTTTATTTTAATAAAAAGAGATGATTAGTGAAAATATTACTGGATGATTTATTGATTTGTCTGAAATTTTGTGGATGTTTGTATCACTTTACTATATAATCTAACAGTTTAAGGATATTTTCTCATTTTGGTCAATTCAATTCTTAGTCTTTGGCTCTTTGCTAGTGAAAACAAATTTCACCATATTTGTAGCAAACCATTAAACTTTAATAATACATCAAATTCCTCTTCCATCTCACCGTTCTACCCTATTTTAAATTCGTTATTCCGTCTTTATTTCTTTTTAATTATATGATTTGGTCTTATTTGACAATCAATTATTAGTTGTTTGGTTTGACTTCATTGAATTTACTGATTTGATGCGTTAGTTCTTAGTTGCCATTCAGTTGATATAATCGAAGATTGTAGATGGTTGATAATATCAATAGTTGATTACGCATCTATATGATAATGTTTTAGATAAAGGCTAACAACCGTTTTCAGATTGTAACGAAATTTGATTAAGGAGTTGTTGATGATGCTTGGCTATTTATAGTTGTCTTGTTGGTAGTGAAGTTAGTGATAGGCTCATAGGCCTAAGAAAGATGGGGTAAGGGAAAGAGGATGAGACTATGCATGTTTGTGTGGATGGTCTAGCATGCCTATTTCCATTATAAGGGGGAAAAATTAAGGTTGAGGTTTTTAAGGTGAAAATAACACGACTATTTAGAATACATTTGCATAACTCCTAGTGATTTTGATTGGATAACAATACTATATACATGATTGAAGTGAGACTTTCTTATTCTTAATATCTAGCAAAATGTTTTTAGACAAAGTTAAGGACTTATCTATCCATATTTGGAATTAAAACCACCTCATTTTCACTCTCCATTTTCTTTAAAATATTATTATGTTTATCATCATTCATCACAATCTTCACCATACATTAACTAATGATGAAGTCCCTTATTAAATGATCACATATGTACAAAGAAAATCATTTTTCCACAGATCCACTTATGAACAAAAGAGCTCTAGTGTTGAATTGAAGTTGATGCATGACTCATTTCATGTGGTAACATTTTGGTGTACTGTTGTGGGCTTTCAGTCTGCATATTATGGGCTTTAATTAATATCTCTCTGATATCTACAGTATTTTTTTAAAAAATAAAATTAGCATGATTTTAAAAAAAGAAAAAATAAATTTTTTAAAAAAAAAGAAAAGAAGAAGAAATAAAAAAATAATAATAATAATAATAATAATAATAATAATAATAATAAAAAAAAGATAGCAAGTAACATGCATAGTAGGGGCTCTCTATAATCAATAATCATCATCTCCAGATAATAATTTTGTCCTGTTGCATTTAACTTTTGTAAGATGATTATTTTGAGGCTGTTTTAGTTCTATATAAAGTGATTTTTGGAAGATAATTTTTGTTTCTTCTTTTTACTAACAATAAACAAAAGCTTTTGACAAATAAATGTAAAAAGAAGAAGAACAAAAAAAGTGAAAAGAAAGAACACATGAACACTATATAACATGCATTGTTTAATTTATGAGGTAAATAAAAATGTATTAAATAAATTAATACTCACTTTTTTTTCCTCTTAAAACTCAAGTTTAAGAGATGAATTTACATAATATGAGAATTTTTCTTATATGAGAACACTCTTTATGTTCTAAATTTTTACTCGTATGTTCTAAATTAAATCAAATGTTCTAATTTATATATATATATATATATATATTCTATCTTTTAGAACATGTTCAATCCTATAAAAATCAGGAATTTAGGGAGAACTCAAACTCAAAGGTGTGTAGCAACTCAAGAAAAGCAGATGTGGTATTGGCCTTGGAGCTTGGAGGTTTGACCAACGACCATGCAACTTTGCCTGCATTATTGGCCTTTTTATGGGACCAAAAAACTTTGAAATGTTAAAAAGTGTAAAATTTATAGGGTGGAGGTTGCCTTATCGTTATCATGATGTAGGAAATGTATACTTCAAATGTTTAAGTTTACCATAAAAATTAAGAAATACCCCATTTTAGCACTAATTATTGGATTATTGGACCATTATCGTCTAATTATCTTGTCTAAATCAACTCTCTTTGTTTAGTGTTAGTTTTCACAGTTTGGAAATTATTAATTTAACATCTAGTTAAATCTTTCTGGACAAATTGCAATTTTAATGTCCAAATTTGATGGATAATGCAAATAATCTATTTAGGTAAATAATTTTTTTGTACTTTTTATACTCCGTATAATTTAGTTTGTATTTCTTAGTTTAACCTAGAATACTTTTGTGTGTATATTTGTTTAATGGATAAGAAAGACAATAAATATTCTCACATGATATCCCGAGTATAGGTTTCTTTCCTCTCAAATCATAATCCTCTTCCGTACTCTCCCTCCATATTCTCCCATGGCCAAATCAAGCAAGCTCTATCCACCCACTCTTGTGAGTTGTGACTAACATCAAGACGTGCAATCTTTTCATTCATGTACACAAACAAGGTTTTGCTATGGATTGTTGTGATGCAATTGGTATATTAGTAGTGGTTACTTACTTACTTAGCTTTTGTCAATAATTCAATTCAAACAAACAAGGTTTTACCAAGGGTTGATATCGTGGTACAATTTGTATAGCCATGGTTGTTACATACTTCGAGTATTAACTTTGTTGATAATCCAATATATTTATTAGTCAAAATTAACACACTTTGACATTAAAATTATACAAACCATGTTTTTTTTAGTGGGTTGAGAAACTAAACTAATATAATATGGAAGTAATATCATTTAATATTTCATTCTATGTACTTGTAATTAGCTATCTCAAAGGTGTGAATCAATGGTCTGCAAGTTGTGTGCTAAAGAGTATCAAAGGAAGCTTCACTTCCACTTAATTTAATTACCATAATTTCATAAATTTTGGTCAAACTAACCCTATTTATACTCAAAAACATCTAAATCTACACTGATCTAACACGCTAATGCACAAAAAATCCACACTCATTTCCCACATCTTCTAGCTTTATTACTTCATAATACCTAAATTATCATATATAAGCTCAAATTCTCATAATTAATAATTCTATAACTATAATTATATAATAATGTATGAATTACTCCCTCAAATCAGTGATTACCCAGAATTCCAAAATGCATCATTACAATCTCAACAAGTACCACCTCAATTTCTGAAAACAGCAATCTTTGCTGGAGGTACAATAATACTATCCTCTTCTCTGTTTTTTGCTCTGTTTTTGATCCTGAATGATTGATTAAATTCTAATTAAGGGTTAATTCAGGAAGTTTTCGGGTACTCGAATCGGCATTTGGGAGCATCAATGGAGTTAACAAAACTTCCACTGGTTATTTTGGAGGAAGCCTTAGAAAACCATCATATGAAGAAGTAATTAGTAATTATTTTTTGATTAATTTCTAATTTTAATCAGGATTATTTAATAAAGCATGATTTAATTTAATTTAGTTAATTTTGGATTTAACAGGTAAGTGAAGGGGGAACTGGTCATACAGAAGCTGTCAAAGTAGAATATGATAGCAGTATCATTTCATTCTCATCACTTTGTGGTCTTTTCTGGGATATTCATGATCCCACTAACAAGGACTATCTTGTAAATTTAATTAACTTCTATTCTTTTTCTATTTTATTTTTACGTAACATTGTGATTTAACGTGACTAAGTCTGTTGTACATGGAGTAACGATTTGTATCGGAAAAATGCAGAATTTTGGGTTAAGCACCCATGAAAGATCAGTAATTTTTTACTCAACAGAAGAAGAGAGAAAAGAAGCACAAAAATCAAAGATTAGGAAGCAAATGAGGCTTAATAAGAAAATTGTCACAAAGATTTTGTCAAGGGAAAATTGTGAATTTTTTTTGGCAGAAAATCAATACCAGAAATATTATTTGCAGAAATATTATAAACTTTGTGGAAGTTTGGGCTTAAGAAGCACAGTGCAATTTGTGGAGTCAAATATAGCTTGCAAACTTAATGGGTAATTTAACTTTATAAGCATTCATTTTTCTTAATTATAGTTATACACTTTAATCTTTGCTAATGTTGATTAAGATATAAGTTTAATCTTTGATTCTTTGCTAATGTTGATTAGGACAGGCAATAAAAAGTCAACGATTTCATGCTAGCATGATGGTAGTTTACAGGAGTATAATATTTCATGTTCATGTTTATAATTACAAAGTTTTTTTTTTTTTTTTCTATCCCTTGTGTGTTTAGACATTTAGAATAATTATGTAGAGGGCACAAGGCATCCATTTGAATGTTAAAAGTCCTAGGAAAAATACTTTCGTAAAATACATAGTCAATGTGAGTATTTTATAAATATGGGTTGAATTGAAGATGATGCGTGCATCAATGTGAACGATGAGCATGTTGAAGAATTATTCCAAGAAAGTCAAGAAAGCATGAATCTATACTTGGAAGCTTCTTCAATAGGTCAAACTTACTATCGGGGGCATCAAGACAAAGCCACGCTTTGTATGGTGGCGTTCTTGGGAGTTCTTGAAGCTTCTTGATAGTTCTTTAAGGTTTCTTTAAAAGCTTTCTTAGGTTTTTGCTTACAAGTTTTTACCTTTCACTTGAAAGGGTTTTTCTTGTTTTAAGCACTTAGGATTTCTAATTGCATTAGGAATTGTTTTAGTCTAGTAGGCGTCAATAATAGCTTGGAGTGCAAGCTTGAGTTAGGATAAAATAGGCAAGTTTTATCTTAAGAGTAGTTAGAGTTTAAGTAGGATTAAATAACTAAATCAAAGTTATCTAAACTTGATTAAGTTATGCAATCCGTGGGTTTTTGTTAGGGGATTAGAATTCTAATTCAAGTGGGATTAGGATAATTGATTGAGTTTATAAATATAGGGTTGTAATCTTCGAATAATATACAAGTTTAATCATACATTCATAATAATATTTCTTATTGCTTTTGTTTAAGTTGGATTACTTAAATTCTTGATTGGTGGATTCCAATTTGCTGTTTTGTTTGTTTTAGTTAAAACAATCACCTAGGTTGATTAATTAGGTGGATTCTTGATTAATTAATCTAAGTTTCTTGCTTAATTCTTGGTGAATTTTCTGTATAGAATTAGGTTAGATTCATATCTTTGTGAGGCTTAGTTTTCGGACTAAAAATCACATCATCTTGGTATCAGAGCACAGTTTCGGTAGAATTTAAACTGGTGACGTTAGGCTTGGAATTTTTGGCTGAAATTTTGTGGCAAGATTCAGAAAACGTAGATCAACATTGTGTCAAAATTTCGTGTCAATTGGACGCGTAACGAAGTCTGTGCAACCTCAAACTTTTGAGAGTGTTACACAAAGTTGCGATCTGGAGAACGGTTCTTATTTGCTTCAAGAATCAATCAAGATTCAATCTTTTAATCAAGATTTTGCATAAACTAAACCTGGTTTGTGTAGGAGCAATGAGTGACGAAGAAATCCCAGGGATTCCAAGGGGTTTGAACCTTGATCAAGCGCATAACTTGCGGAGGGATCGTCAAATAGAGCGATTGTCACAACAATTGCAAGAAGTATTGGCTAGGCTTGACGAACGTGACAAAACTTCATCTTCAAGGAAGAACAAATCAGTTGCAATTTCTAGTTCAAGTGAAGACGAATATGAAAGGAGAAAAGCAAGTAGATCACGCCATAAAGATTCATCTTCGAGTGATGAACCTAGAAGGCATAGACGGAAGAACAAGGCCAAAGATGATGACCGAAATATAAGGTTAGATTTTCCGGAATTCAATGGTAGTATGCTAGACCCCGAAAAATATTTTGAGTGGGTTAGAAGAGCCGAAACACTCTTTGATTACAAGGAGTATGATGAACGAAAGAGGTGCAAACTTGCTGAATTAAAACTCACAGGTTATGCGAGTTTATGGTATGATAATCTCAAGAAAAAGAGACGCAAGGAGGGACGATCCAAGATCACTACTTGGACACAATTGCAGAAATATATGAAGCGTCAATTTGTGCCCCATGAGTACGTGCAAGAAGTGTATCTCAAGATGCAGACTTTTAAGCAAGGAAATCAATCCGTGGAGGCTTATTTGTGTGAGTTTGAGAAACTATGTTTATTGTGTGATTTAGAAGAAATTCTAGGGCACAAAATAGCACGTTTTATTGCAGGTTTGAACGAAAATGTTCAAGAGAAGATTGAATTGCACGAATACTATTCGTTTGAAGAAGTATGCAAGGCGGCCATTAAGGTTGAAAGACAATTCAAGGCCAAGAAGACCTCAAGTGTGAAACCGTTCACACGCACGTTCACAAAGGCTAGTGACAAGCCTACCTTTGATAGGACTTCTTCTAATCCGTATGCTAAAGATAACAAACCCAGAAACGAAGCTAGCAAGAAGGTGACCGAAGATAGAAAATGTTTCAAATGTGGGAGTGTTGGCCACATAGCAAGCAATTGCTACTCAAAACGCACTATGACGGCTCAAGAATGGGAAGAAGAGAAAGCTAGGTGCGAGGGAAATAGTGACATGGAGGTTGTGGTCGAGAAAGAACGTGATTTTGAAGAAGAGGAGGGTAGTGCCGAAGAGGTTGATGGTGAAACGCAAGGAAAGAGCTTGGTTCTAAGGAGAGCTCTTCACTCTAAACCTATGCCCGTTGAAGAGAATCAAAGAGAGAAAATCTTTTTAACAAGGTGCAAGGTGGAAGATCGATTGTGTGACGTAATAATAGACTCGGGAAGTTGCACAAATGTGGTGTCTACAACTTTGATCAACAAATTAGAGTGGCCTACAACCGATCACCCAAAACCTTACAAGCTACATTGGCTCAATGATGCTAGTGACGTGAAGGTAACGAAACGAGCCCTAATCACCTTTTCAATTGGCAAATATCATGATAAAGTTTTATGTGATGTATGCCCTATGGATGCTTGTCATATCTTATTGGGTAGACCATGGCAATATGATAGATTTGTCAAGTTTAATGGTAGGACAAATGTGTATATAATTCGAAAAGGAAAGGGGGAAAAATCATATGCATTGAAACCACTTGTTGATCATAGAATTAACCCTAGTTCAAAAGGTGCATATTTAATTGGGGAAAAGGAGTTGGAGAAAGAGATCAACAACAACAATATAGTATATATTATGGTGGCTAACAATGTGCAAGTGAATGAAAGTAAACAAGAAAAGAGGCCCGTGGAATTAGAAGTAGTATTGCAAGAGTATTGTGATGTTTTTCCTAGTGAATTACCACCGGGATTACCACCAATTCGTGGTATTGAACATCAAATTGATCTTATTCCGGGAGCTCCACTACCTAACAAGGCAGCATATAGAAGTAATCCGGAAGAAACAAAGGAAATGCAACGTCAAATAGAGGAATTGATGCAAAGAGGCTACGTGAAAGAGAGTATGAGCCCATGTGCCGTGCCTACATTGTTAGTTCCAAAAAAAGATGGGAGTTGGCGCATGTGCATTGATAGTAGGAGTGTGAACAACATAACCATCAAGTATAGATTTCCTATACCTAGACTTGATGATTTGTTAGACGAATTGCATGGTTCAAAGCTATTTTCCAAGATTGATCTTATGAGTGGCTATCATCAAATACGCATGAGGGAAGGAGATGAATGGAAGACGGCTTTCAAGACTAAAGTGGGGTTGTATGAGTGGTTGGTCATGCCTTTTGGTCTAACCAATGCGCCCAGTACATTTATGAGATTGATGAACGAGGTGTTGAAACCATTTCTTGGAAGGTTCGTAGTTGTTTACTTGGATGACATATTAATTTATTCTGAAAATTTCAATGATCATCTAATGCATTTGAGAAGCGTTTTGGAGGTTCTTAGGGAGAAGAAGTTGTACGCAAAATTGGAAAAATGTTATTTTCTTGTTCCTAGCGTGACGTTTCTAGGGTATGTAGTATCCAAAGATGGTGTGTCCGTGGATCAATCCAAGGTTGAAGCTATCAAGACTTGGCCCGTACCTACCAATGTGAGTGAAGTTAGATCGTTTCATGGTCTAGCGTCGTTTTATAGAAGATTTGTGAAGAATTTTTCCACGATAGTTGCACCTATGACTGAATGCTTGAAGAAAGACAAGGGAAAATTCGAGTGGACCAAGGAAGCCCAACGTGCATTTGATTTGGTCAAAAGGAAGCTATGTGAAGCACCCGTACTTGCATTGCCGGATTTTTCACAACCATTTGAGGTAGAGACCGACGCTAGTGGTGTAGGGATTGGTGCCGTTTTGGTTCAAAAGAAGCGCCCTATTGCCTATTTTAGTGAGAAATTAAACGGTGCTAGATTGAACTATTCTACCTATGACAAGGAGTTCTATGCTATTGTGCGAGCATTGGACCATTGGAGTCACTATTTGCGCCCAAATCACTTTGTGTTGCATAGTGATCACGAAGCTTTGAAGTACATTCATGGTCAACAAAAATTGAACCCTAGACATGCTAAATGGGTAGAGTTTCTACAAGCTTTCAATTTTTCTTCAAAGTATAAGGAGGGGAAAGCAAATGTAGTGGCCGATGCACTATCTAGAAGACACACGTTGCTTGGAGTGTTGAATTGTAAACTACTTGGTTTCGCGTTAATCAAGGAGTACTATAAGGGGGACGTGGATTTCTCTACAATCCTAGAGGAGTGTTCCAAGGGGGCCGTAGGTTCCTATGTTTTACAAGACGGTTTTCTTTTCAAGGGGAATCGTTTGTGCGTGCCTAAGTGTTCTATTAGAGAATTAATAGTAAGAGAAGTGCATGGAGGAGGGATAGCGGGACATTTTGGCATAACGAAAACATTAACTATGCTGCAAGAGCATTTTTATTGGCCTAGAATGCTAGCGGATGTACAATCAATAGTTTCTAGGTGTGCAACATGTCAAAAAGCCAAGGCTACGTTTCATCAAGGCTTATATACGCCCTTGCCCGTGCCAGATTCACCTTGGGAAGACGTGTCTATGGATTTTGTAGTTGGTTTGCCAAGGACTCAAAGAGGAAAGGACTCAATCATGGTTGTAGTGGATCGATTTTCCAAGATGGCTCATTTCATACCTTGTCACAAAGTGGACGATGCTATGAAAGTGGCGGAATTGTATTTCAAGGAAGTGGTGAGACTACATGGGTTGCCGAACAGTATTGTGAGTGATCGTGATACAAAGTTCATGAGTTTCTTTTGGAAATCACTATGGAAGTTGGTGGGAACGAAGCTGTTATTTAGTACATCATATCACCCGCAAACGGACGGACAAACGGAGGTAACAAATCGAACTCTTGGTGTGCTTTTACGTGGACTAGTGAGCAAAACACAAAAAGATTGGGATATTAAGCTTGCTCATGCCGAGTTTGCTTACAATAGATCACCTACTTATGCCACAAAACACACACCATTCGAAGTTGTTTATGGTGTCAATCCAAAAATGCCCATTGATTTAATTGAAATTCCAAAAGGGGAAGTGATTCATAAGGATGCCGAGACTAAAATCAAGTACATGATAAAGCTACACGCACAAGTTAGAGCTAGGATTGAACGTGTCAATGAACTCTACAAAGCACGAGCTAACAAGAACAAAAAGCCACAAAGTTTTGAAGTTGGCGACTTGGTGTGGCTACACTTGAGAAAAGAGAGATTTCCTAACAAACGAAAGAATAAATTGATGCCAAGAAGTGAGGGGCCGTTCAAGATTATTGAGAAGATCAATGAGAATGCATATAAGCTTGAATTGCCGGGAGAATATGGTGTAAGCGCAACATTTAATATTGGGGATTTGGTGAAGTATTTGCCAGATGGTGCTATTGAAGATTTGAGGGCAAATTCTTTTGAAGAAGGGGAGGATGATGCGTGCATCAATGTGAACGATGAGCATGTTGAAGAATTATTCCAAGAAAGTCAAGAAAGCATGAATCTATACTTGGAAGCTTCTTCAATAGGTCAAACTTACTATCGGGGGCATCAAGACAAAGCCACGCTTTGTATGGTGGCGTTCTTGGGAGTTCTTGAAGCTTCTTGATAGTTCTTTAAGGTTTCTTTAAAAGCTTTCTTAGGTTTTTGCTTACAAGTTTTTACCTTTCACTTGAAAGGGTTTTTCTTGTTTTAAGCACTTAGGATTTCTAATTGCATTAGGAATTGTTTTAGTCTAGTAGGCGTCAATAATAGCTTGGAGTGCAAGCTTGAGTTAGGATAAAATAGGCAAGTTTTATCTTAAGAGTAGTTAGAGTTTAAGTAGGATTAAATAACTAAATCAAAGTTATCTAAACTTGATTAAGTTATGCAATCCGTGGGTTTTTGTTAGGGGATTAGAATTCTAATTCAAGTGGGATTAGGATAATTGATTGAGTTTATAAATATAGGGTTGTAATCTTCGAATAATATACAAGTTTAATCATACATTCATAATAATATTTCTTATTGCTTTTGTTTAAGTTGGATTACTTAAATTCTTGATTGGTGGATTCCAATTTGCTGTTTTGTTTGTTTTAGTTAAAACAATCACCTAGGTTGATTAATTAGGTGGATTCTTGATTAATTAATCTAAGTTTCTTGCTTAATTCTTGGTGAATTTTCTGTATAGAATTAGGTTAGATTCATATCTTTGTGAGGCTTAGTTTTCGGACTAAAAATCACATCAGAAGACGACTAAAATAATAAAAAGAGTGAAGGAAAAAAAAACACATTTCAGGACTACTATGGGCTATTTACAATTTCAAAAGTATACTTGTTCTTAAAAAAGTTATTTGTTGATTACATGATCAATTTTTTTTTTAAGTATTAGATTAAAATACATTTCACTTAATTACTTTTTTGATTGATTTATACTCCGTAATATTCTACATTTATCATTGATGGTGTTGTCTAAAATCACTTGTTTTATTATTTTATATTTTTTTAAAACTAGAAATTATAGGTTTCATAGTTGCAATAAATTATGAACTCTAATACAAGTAGTACTATTAAGTACGGATAAATTAACAAAGTGCAGTTACAAGATTTATTAAATGACACAAATCTAATCTACATGAATAAATTTCTGTATGATTATTGATTGAATTGGATTTATTTCAGAAATTATTCGATGATGTACCAGGATGTACCTTCGTCATGTCCATGTTCAACCATACAGGCCCCTGGTCATTAGCTTAATCAATACACTCTAATAATTTTCCTACTTTTATAAAATCAAAATCTTTTGGTATAGTGGGCCTAATAATCTAATTACATTTTAGGGCCTTGGATTATGATAAAAGCAAATTTATGTCTTTGCCCAAACATATAAAGCCCATTTTATTGTTTAGGTAATAATGTCATTGTGGATCCAATCTTTACAGCTTTGATGCCTTTAAACTTTTAAGTAACTAAAGCATGCATGCATTTGTTGTATGAGGATGACATACTTTTTTTGAGTTTGCCACATCCGATTCAACAGAGATTAGCTCCAACTACATTCGGATCTGACCCGAGTTGCACACCTGGTTTATGGTGGACGAGTCTCCCAACAACCAACAAGAGTATTGGGCATTCGGTGAGACTCGAACTCGAGACCTCCCTTAAGCGACATCAAGTTGTGGGTTTACCGCTTGAGCCAACTCTTATGCTGGTTATGAGGATGACATACAATAACTAATTTGTTGTAAGAGTGGAGTGACTTTTATAATACGAAATTACAAAAGTACTTGTACTCTGTATATTTTAAGGGGTGACTTTTTTTTTTTTATTATTGGTGTAAGTTGTAATAATGCTTCTTGATAAGTTTGGTGACTCAATATTACATGAGATTGTTTGTCATAGAGTTATTTTTTTTTGGTTTGTGCAGAATATTGGGGATGATTAATGAAGAACAGAAACTTGATGAACTTGCAATTTTTCTGGAAATTCAGGAGTTGTCTAATCATGCAAAGTTAGCTTGTGAAGAGATTATTGAAGATTTAAGAGAATTGAAAGAGAAGTAATACACAAATATGTAACAAGCATATAATGGTTTTATATTTTGTTCCTAAGTGTAATTTCCTATTGCCATATTATTATAGCTAACGGTCCGAGCTAGACATTAAAATGATAAATATAATTCATCCAATTTTTAAAATTATATTATTACCTAATATGGTTCAAAATAGATAAAAATAGCTTAAAAACCAACTTAGTTTTTTATTTTTAGGGCCTGTTCACATTTACTTAATTTAAATTCAGTTCAGCTCTAATTAGTTTAGTTCAGTTTAGTTCAGCTCCTAATTTTCCTCTCTCATAAAATATTCATTTCAGCTCATTTCAACTCTAATCACTTCAGTTTGGTTCAGCTCCAATCAGTTTAGTTTAGTTCAGTTCAGTAAATGTGACAGACCCTTAATACCCGGTCTAAAATTTATATCGTTTTAACAATATATTTTTCTACTTCTTCAAGTCAATTTTTCTAGTTTTTGAGAAGATCATCCTTAATCAAATCACTACATAATTACTTTACTTTGATGTTACATTGCATCTATTTATGATAAAATGAAACTATTGTGGGGTTTATACTTTATAGTAAGTGGGAAATTATTAAGATATTTTTTAACAAAAAAATTAGCTCTTTAACTCTCACTATAAAAAGTGAATTGTATGATTAGTAGAAAACTAAAGTGTATTGTTGATAGAGATTGGTGAGTTTGCTAGTTTTAATTGAGTAACATAGAAGCTTTACTAATTGGTGATGGAGAAATCCACTAGGCACAACATTATGAGTTTATTAATTTCATGCAATCAGTTTGGTAATAGTTACAAACTAACGTCATTTTACACCTTAACTCAATGATTATGTTTCTTAATCGCAAATTAAGATTTTTGTGGCTAATGTTATAATACACCACACTCACCACGTGGTTGTATTTACAATCACATTGCCAACTCGTCATGGTACGTACTATGTTAGCAAGCTACACAAGTTATCAAAAGCTTGTTTAATTACACTGTAAATTTCATATAGCTCACTGGTTGGACGGTTGTGTTCGGCGACGTCAATTATTGTATTTTCAGTTTTAGTCTTAGTTGACAGTTGTGTTTTGTTGTTTTAGTTTTTTTTTTTTTATAGCTCTTTTGTCAAAGAAAAAAAAAACACTTTTATATGAGGGTTACAGATACACGTAAGCTCATATAAGCACTCGTATGTTGTATTTTGTAAAAATTCAACTTTATGACCTCAATGTTATATATACTTATATATATGGTGAATTTTTAACTTAATACGTTAATTAATTTGTTTGGTTCATTTAATTCACTTGAATTGTTAGAGTTGCTACAATTTCATAGTGAGGATGAGGATTATAATTACAAGACAAATTAGTATTTGCATAATATTTCAGGACTTTATTTTAAAAAAAGACATTTAAAGAAACACGACGATTATATAATAGCCACATTTGTTTTTATCAATTTTAAAACGCAAGCGTACTAAAAGTAGTTGTTATTATTGCATTTAGTTATTGTGCATTTGTAGTAGTTTTATGTTAAAGGTTAATTGTCACATTATTAGTGTATACTTAAATGTCATAATAGACTGATGGCTAATAGTAGAGTGAACGACTTTGATTCAGATCCTGTTTGTTTATTTAACTTATCTCAGTCAAAATAAGTTAAACAAGAATATATTCAAAATATTATACAAGAGTAATTAAGTTTAGACAAAATAAGTTTTTTTTTTTTTTTTTCAAAAGTTTCAATTACAATTTCAAATAAGTTCAAACAAATTATGTTCATACAAATTCATAGGTTAACTAAATAACTAAAAATATAATTTATAAAAAATGAGACGAATCAAACAAAATTTAAAAGAGATGGGTGACTTTAAGAGGTAGCAATCAAATTATGCTAAAACCTAGTACCAAAAAAATCACTTTATATTTACAACACCATGTTTTTCAGAAGACTTGCATCATTAATTAGCTACTTCAAATATTACTATTGACAAGTAAATGTGTTTTCAAATAAGGTTATGTAAATAAATACTTCAATTGGATACATATAATTGAAGGTGTTATATCTTCGATAAGTGCAATTACTAGATATATCAAGGATCATAATTATGGAGATAATTAGTTCATTTTATAGGGACGTCAATATTTGGTGCTAGATATGACAATTGATCTTTGGGCTAGTTAAATAGTTCATGGCCTTATAGAATGGATTCTATAAGGTCACACACAAGAGTACTGGGTCAAACAAGTTAGAGGCCCATTATTGGGCCTCATGAGTTTATGGCATGCCACATTGATTGTTGGGCTAGGATAGTTTGATGAGCTTAGAATGTTTTGGGATTGACATGGATTTATTTAGAGATGTGATCTATAAATATAATTCATGTCTAGGGTTGTATGATATAACAATTAACAGTTAATTGTGAACCAAGCAACAAAATCCCAAAACCCTAATTCTCTCTCTCTCCACTCGGCCCTCTCTCTCCTCCTTGTCCGTACACCCGCCCCTCTTGGGTGGCGTGTGTGGTGGTTGTTTGGGAGGTTCGTGGTGTGCTCATGACTCACATCTCCGTCAAAGATTGATTGAAGTTTTCGATCATAACCAACTAGCATTAATGGGGTTTGATCCGTGCTCGTGGACTCAGTAGAGGAATCACACGTGGGGTTCTTATTCTCCTTATTGTTCTTGCTCGATCATACATGGAATCACGCTACAAAGGTATTAATTCTAATTGTTTATGTGTTATGCATGATCTTGGGATTAGGTGCTATATGAATATGATTCATGTTTTTCGCAATTCGTACCTATAAACTCCTACAATCATAATCTATCGTAAAATTTCATGTAATAATTTTTAAACATTCAATGAAAGTTATCTATACAATACGAGTAGAGCTGTCAAAAGTTGAGCCGACCCGAAATACCGACTCAAACCCGATTATTAACCGACCCATCTGAACCTGAAAAAATGGTGACCCAAACCCGACTTGACCCGACCTGAAACCAACCATAGACCCTAGTTGACCTGAGTATGTGAGACCCAAACCCGAACATGAACTAACCTGAAGATGTCCCGACCCGAATGTAACCCGTAAATTATTGACCTCAACCAAACCCGACTTGAATCGAAATTGACCCAAACCAGTTTTAACCCGTCAAAACCCGAATTTAACCCGACTTGTTACTAATCTGACCTGAATTCAACCCGACCCTTTCCTAACACGACCCGAATGTAATTTTTTGACTTTTTTTTCCCGAAAATAAAATTTTCCGAAATGTTTACCATGGTCCCTAATACCCTCTGAGAGTCCAATTGGGTGGGTGGGACCATCCAATTTGCCTTTAAACGGTCGATTTACGCATTTACAACTTACAATGATTTCGTTAACTCAAGCCTACCAGAAACATTTATGACAACATATAATGATCATTTATGTTTCCAAACAGCATTATATGACTCCGAGATGTATCACCTATAATTTCAAGACTTTTCGTCACCGGGCCCCAAAACCTTCAAAATTTCTCAAAAAGTGTGGATATTAGCCTTCAATTTTGTAATTTTTTGACTATTTTTTGCCTGAAAATAAAATTTGCCGAGATGTTTACCATGGTCCCTAATACCCTCTGGGAGTCCAACTGGTTGGGTGGAACCATCTAACTTGCCTTTAAACGGCCAATTTACTGATTTACAACTTGCACCAATTTCATTAATTCAAATCTACCACGAACATTTATGACAATATATAATGATCATATATGGTTCCAAATGGCATTATATGACTCCGAGATGTATCCTCTAAAATCTTAAGTCTTTTCGACACCGTGTCCCGAAACCTCCAAAATTTCTCAAAAAGCGTGGATATTAGTCTTTAATTTTGGATTTTTTTTTGCCCGAAAATAAAAATTGCCGAAATTTTTACCATGGTCCCTAATACCCTCTGGGAGTCCAATTGGGTGGGTGGAACCATCCAATTTGCCTTTAAACAACCAATATACCAATTTACAACTTGCACCGATTTCATTTTGTCAAGCTTACCACGAACATTTATGACAACAAATAATGAACATATATGGTTCCAAACGGCATTATATGACCCCGAGATGTATCACCTAGAATTTCAAGACTTTTTGTCGTCGGGCCCCGAAACCTCCAAAATTTCTCAAAAAGTGTGGATATTAGCATCCAATTTTGTAATTTTTTGACTTTTTTTGCCCGAAAATAAAATTGCCAAAATGTTTACCATGGTCCCTAATACCCTCTAGGAGTCCAATTGGTGTGGTGGAACCATCTAACTTGCCATTAAACGACCAATTTATTGATTTACAACTTGCACCGGGCCAATTTCATTAATTCAAGTCTACCACGAACATTTATGACAAAATACAATGATCATATATGGTTCCAAACGGCATTATATGACTCCGAGATGTATCCTCTAAAATCTTAAGTCTTTTCGACACCGTGTCCCGAAACCTCCAAAATTTCTCAAAAAGCGTGGATATTAACTTTCAATTTTGGATTCTTTTTACTTTTTTTCACCCGAAAATAAAAATTGCCGAAATTTTTACCATGGTCCCTAATACCCTCTGAGAATCCAATTGGGTGGGTGGAACCTTCTAATTTGACTTTAAACGGCCTATATACCGATTTACAACTTGCACCGGTTTCATTTTTTCAATCCTACCACGAACATTTATGACAACGAATAATGATCATATATGGTTCCAAACGGCATTATATGACCCCGAGATGTATCACCTAGAATTTCAAGACTTTTTGACATCGGCCTTCAATTTTGTAATTTTTGACTTTTTTTTTCCCGGAAATAAAATTTGCCAAAATGTTTGACATGGTCCCTAATACCCTCCGAGAGTCCAATTGGGTGGGTGGAACCATCCAATTTGCCTTTAAACGACCAATTTAGGGATTTATAACTTACAACGATTTCATCAACTCAAGCCTACCACAAACATTTATGACAACATATAATGATCATTTATGTTTCCAAACGGCATTATATGACTCCGAGATGTATCCCCT